CCTGATTTGAAATAAGTGCCCCAAAAATATAGAGTAAAGGAAACTTAAGTAAAAGCAGACCTTGTAGCTAAGCATTTCTCTTATTTCTCTGATGTCCGGTCACCGTATTCATAGACTGTCACAAAGGAAAAGAGACAGGAAACAGCAGAGGTGTTTGCTCAATGACATGATAAACTTCCAAGAGAAAAAGAACAGATGGAAAATGAAGAACTTCATGGTGTCTTAAAGAAATGGTACTTTCCTGTTGGGAGATATATTCTAATGACTTCTGGTTGTGAATATTAGACTCACCTCAAAGGAAGAAAAAGAATACGTTTTTCAAAATTGGAATCAAGAAGAGTATAATTATAGATTTTCTGTTTGGAAAGCATACAAACCATGCATTTTCTCTTAGAGCTTACCATTTCAAAGTACTCAAAGATTCTGACATTGATGCTTGTCTTCGAGGTTATTTCTGAAAAAAATCTTATTTAAAATGGTTTCGCATTTTAAAGATGCTATTTTAGTTATTAAAGATAGTGAGATTCTCTATCTTTAAAACTGCTTTCATACGCTCATGGAAAGTTAGAACTGGAAGGAACTTATTTTCCTTAGTTCTAGCTGAAAGGACTATTTTCCACTGTTTTTCCAACTATTTTTAGATATAGAACCTTTTGTTCAAACAAAATCTCTTCTAGAATCTGGGCAGAGGGAGAGGTAGAGTGAACATGTGCGTGCACACACACACACACACACACACACACACACACACACACACACACAGAAGCTGTTATATTGCTGAAGCATGGATGGTAGGGAGCCCAAAACATTGCCAGATCACCTCCCCTCCCACATCTGTACCCACAGCTGCCTTTGAGCAACCCTGTGGGATGTGGATTGTATACCACCGATTTCATCCAACCGCTGTATTAGAGATAAGACATAGAGATCCAGAAGGTTTAGGTCATTTGGCCCAGCCCACAACTAGGTGGAGAACGGGGAATTCCAACTCAGCTTTCTTCCAGAAGTCTTTCCAGAACTGGCGACACCATAACTTAATACAAAAGATACTTAGTAGGCTCAGCTGCCCCATACCTGCTGAGACCCTTTGTCTGGAAGTACAGCCGAGCGTCTAGACTAAAGCAACCCTAGTCAGCAGAACACATTGCTTCCTGGGAGTGAACAGGCTGGCCTGAGGAACCAAGGCAACTTGTGAGATCGATGAAGGAAACCTCAAGTGCTGTGGCCAAGCGTGTTAGAAAGGTCAGACAAAAAGGTTAATCCTGCTTCACAAAAGAGGAGCAATGTCAAAGCCTAATTACTAACATTTACAATAAATTCTCTGCCCTGTCACTCCTACAAAGACAACTTGGTACAGTACAAGAAACACAGTCCTTAGAAAAGATGGATTAATATGAATCCTACTTCTAATACTTTCTTCTTCTATGAAACAGAGGTAATATTTGTTAAAAAGGTAGCTGTCTGTATTCAATTATTCATTGAATATATATAGATATATAGATATATATCAGTAATGCATCTAGAACAATAAATACTGCTTTCCTACCATTTTCTTAATAACTTTGTTATAACACAGATCTACCCATTTTTTCTAACAATTACATAGAGAAAATTATTTTCCTAGTATGTTTTCAAAAAGGGTGTAATACCAAGAAACTAATTTGAATATTATCTAACGAGATGTATTTCCTCATTGTTTTCTATTATAGCTTTCATTGTTATTTCAGGTGGAAAAATAAGCCCCATGATGGGACTAGAGGAGATACAAATGTAATAATTTTGAGAGCTGTTATTACTTTGCTCCTTTTCTCTAATAATTCACCCAAACGTTCAAAACAATTCCAGGTAACCGAATACCACAAAACAGATCCAGCAAGACCAGGAAAAGCAAAACACACACAATCCACACACAATCCACACACACATACACCACACACATACACACACCCACATGCACAAACACAAACTCCATAAAAGCCTTTATTTTTCCTTAGTCTTCTTTTTTTAACTGCTACAATTGTCACTAATGACAAACCAAAATCTAGAGAAAAATCATATGTAAGGGTTTTTCATTTTACCTGTGGTAGTTAGGTACTAGTTTAAACATAAAATTTTCATTTAGTATTATTTTCATTTAATCCAGTAGTGATCAAAATAACTGAAATGCAATAATGGTTCCACAGTACTGCCCTTACTATATTCACCATATAATAAAAAAACCTAACTTCATATTTACTTAAAATTTACCTTATCAGCTTTCAAAGCCACTTAGGTAAACATCATACAACACAAGTACAATTTCACACTTGGAAGGCACCAGAGGCCAATAACCCTTATATTAGAGAGTTAAACTTACTTCTGCAAATAAAGACTATCAGTGTTTCATTTCCATCTAAGGTAATGACTGTGAAGTTAAAATATTGTACAAATTCCACAGGGATTTGTTCTATGTTTAGTCACTCAGAGAATACATGGTGACTAAAACTGACTACATTTCAGTAGATGGCAAAAGTATGTTTTAATAATAGGATAATATCAAAATAAATGATAGGCCTCTAAGTTTCAAATAACTTCATGAGTGTTTAAAATGCTTATTAATTCATTTTAGACTTATTAGCTTTTCTTTTTTAATATCCTATTTTTTTATAAAGCATAAGAAAACGTCATATGATTTGCTCAGTGTCACCTAAATCAATATTCATGTTAACAGATTTATTTACAAATCACAGAATCATATTTTAAAAAGAGAAAGTGGAAGAAAGTACTTGTTTTTGTTTGTCTGTTTGTTTAATGTCTGGAAGGCATCAAATACCATACGAAAGAAGAGAGCTGGTACTCATTTTGAGGGAAAAATTCACACTAGGAGTTAAAAATCATTCTGGTTAGGAAAGAATGTCAGGAATTGGCATGTCGTATCTTTTTTTACTCTTCTCATTTTAGGACTAAATCCTCGAATAGGGTGGGAAAGAATGCAACAAAAAGCATTATATATATAATATACATATATATCCTTATCGAGTTCACAGTTTTAAAATCCAAAAGCATCAGATGATAGTTCCACCATATTATTTGTTCCCTTTAAAGATGAGACATTATTATTTGAAAAACAGATTTTTCATTGTCACCAAAAGTGAAACAGACCTAAAAAACATACATCAGACATGCCCAGAGTATTAAAAGCCCAATCCAACTTAAAAAGCCTCCCTTTTGACCACTTTCTCTTTTTTACTAATAATTTGGAACATTATATATATATATATAAATGAAAAAATTTAAAACTACAAGAGAGAACTATGGTCATCATTTTGATGTTTCTCCCTCTAGTCTTTGCACGAATTATATTTTGCCCAAATCATAATTTTATTGCATATGTATTTTATTCCCCGATTTTTTCACCTCACATTTTATCATTACCACTTGTGAATTTCATTCAATATGTCAAAGGGTGTACAGTGTTTAAGTGTTATCTTTATTTTTTTTCCTGAATTTTAGAAATAATATTTGCTCATTGCAGAGGTAAAACAAATCACAAAAGTATAAAAAAGGAAAAAGAACATCCTTCTATAAAACTTTGATTCCATCCTTACCCTTAAAAAAACAGCCACTTTTAACAGTTTACTAAACATCTTCCCTGCCTTGCTTCTGTGGTACATAAACAATTTGTTTTTCTATTCTCTCAGTAATGAATATTTAAGAGGTTTCAGTTTTACACTACATGAACAGCGTAATGAAAATTTTGCATATTAATATTCAAAGTAATAAAATAGAAAGTATTTCAAGATTTAAAAATAAAAACTTTCATTTTAAATAATTAGTAACCAAAATACAGACCTTTATTTTTTAATTCAAACTTGTGCCCATGTCTTATTATTGTTATTATTTATTTTTAATGATGGGCAATTTCAGTACTAAATTCTAATACTTCAGAAGTCCCTTGGGTGGATGGATGCATAGATGGGTACTTAGTCATTATCTCAGGGTTTACTACCCTAAATCCATCATGCCAATCAAGCATATTTAAAAAATAAATTTATATCAAGAATTATTAGAGAAATGTACCTAACATACAAAATAATCAGATTCCCAGGAAGCTGTGAAAGGTCTATATAATTTTCACAATAGCATCTGAGATCTACAAGGACAAACACATCAACACAGGAGGCTTATATGACATTCCAATTATAAGTCCATATTTATATTTTACTTAGATACTCATCTTCAAAACTATCACAAGGTAATAAGGGACATTTTTGGCAAAAGCTCAGAGTTGCATATATTTGTACACATATATCTGCATCTGAATTCTCGCATTAAAAACATTTTGCCTGAAATGCAAAAAAGTAATAATTTAAACACAATACATAATAAATTTTAATTTATCTCAAGACCAGTTTATTTGAATACTAACATAATCTTCTTACAACTGAAAAAGTTCAGTGTTTTTAAAATAATTTTTAAAATTAAATTTATTGAGGTGACATTGGTTAGTAAAATTATATAAGTCTCAAGTGTACAATTCAATAATACATCATCTGTATATTGCATTGTGCGTTCACCAACCAAAGTCAAATCTTCTGTCACCATACACCAAAATTCACTCAAAATGGATCAAAGACCTAAATGTAAGACTTGAAATGATAAATTGCATAAAAGAAAACATAGGTACTAAACTCATGGACCTTGGACATGGAGAGGATTTTATGAGTGTGACCTCAAAAGTAAGGGAAGTAAAAGCAAAAATAAATGATCGAGACTATATTAAATTGAAAAGCTACTGCACAGCAAAAGAAATCACTAACAAAACAAAGAAACAACCAACTGAATGGAAGTTAACAGTGTTTTAACTTCATGTGAACCCGATTTCTAAACACATTTTAGAAATAACATAAACAATAACATAAATGAGTCCCAAGTAATATAATTCAGCCATATTAAAAAAAATTATAATAAAGCTGCCTATAAGGAAAAGATTAAACAGAAACATCTAAAAAACCACTCACACATTTAAAGCTTTACTTTGTGATTAACGTAGTCACCCAGAAGAGTCCCAGTGACAACTACATATACAAACCACCTTCTCTGCAGGACCAGCAACTTTGGGGCGGTGGTCTGTGAGGGCAGAGCATCCCCAAAACGATCCTCTCCACTTTTACCTTTAATGAGAGTTAAAGTGCAAGTTTTTACTAAAGTACCAAACACCATATTCCAAAGTGGAATACAACAGTATAATGTAACATTTTAAAGGAAGGGTTCCAGAAGGAGTTCCATAACTCTTACAACCATTTACCCATGTGGAAGGGTAAAAAGAGGTTATTGAAGATGAAGAATTTTGGAGACAGTTGCCAACATGCTGTGTGGACTGACCTTTTTCTCAGGAAGATCTGTGGGCCCTTTGTTACTCACCTCAAGCCTGAGGCTAAATGCTTCAAAGGACCACTCAGGAAGTTTGAAATTGTTGCCTCATCACCCTCTGAGTTTTAGAAGGTAAAGTAATTCCTTTGGACAAGATCTAAGCCTTGAAAGAGGGAGTGAGAGGAGAAGGAGGATGGAGACGGGGAGAGGGATCTAGGGCTCCCATTCCCTACAGCTCCTTGCCCAAGGCACACTCAAGCTTGGGGAAGGAATACAAGTAACTTTAAAGCAAGATTGAAATGACATGCAGTTTATAAATCACTATGATTCATTTTCTCAATTAGAAATGATCCAAGAATTGTTTGATTTTAATAAGTAACCAGAAAAGTCATTGGAACTCCTTGAATTTTTATTTGCAAAATGATCAGACCATTTTATTAGCTACCCCCTCATCTTACTCTCTCCTGCACTTGACTTTCAGGCACACATTTTTTATCCTTTTCATGCTAGAGTTTAATAATAACAACAATCCACACTATTGAATGCCAGGCACTCTACTATGTATTTTACATACATTTCTCATTTCATCTTCATACAACTCGGTAGTATTATCCACCCCCATTTTACATATGAGGAAACTGAGGCTTATCCATGGCCACACCGTTAGTAAGTAGAGGACCTGAGAATGTACCCAGGTGGCCTGACTCCAGAACCTGTCATCTTTCCCTGAAAGATGAGTGAAGTGAAGCCTCTTAGTTGAGGATGAAAATATCAGGCTTGCTTTCTTTAATAAAACATATGTAGATCTCCTCCATTTCATGAAAAAAAAAAAATTGGAAACATTCCACTGAAGTAGTAGAACAGTAAACATAGTTATTTTTTGTAATCATACAATCTGCTGATGTACACACTTATTCCAAACTCCTGGATGATGTCACTGTGTCAACAAAGCTTCCTCCATCAGACATAAAATAACAATAATCACATCAACAATATCTAAAATTCATAACGTTAGACCTTTAACAACTACATTTTCACATTTTAATCTATTTTACTCTTATGATGATCCTCTCAGTGGGTATTGTTAATGCTATGTTTTTGATGAGGACACTAAGATTAAAAGCTTTTAAAAATTGTGATTTGCATAACATAGAAAACTAATATGTCAAAGGGAAGTTGAAATATCAACCCATTTTTGTATCAACTTCTAAACCCCTCTTTACCACCAATATTTATACTAATCATTCTTTATCCTTATGCTTTGCATTTTTCCTTAATATGCCTTACATATATTGAATACCTCACTTTAGTCCGATGAGATAATTCATGGCAAGTAACAATGCATATGGTTTTCAGATGTAGAAACTGGGGCTTTGAGAGGCAAACAACTTGGCCAAGTCAATGAAATACAAGAATCTTATAGAATTTTTCAAACCTGAGTTAGATTTCCATTTTAATATGGAAAGACATGCCTTTCTTCATGAGAGTATTCTAGAATTTCAGAACCATGCCGATCTATTTCACAGTAGGCGAGTCTACTACTGAGAAAGCAAAGGGTCATAAAAGCCATTAGTGCTGCTAGTTAAATTCTAGGCTTCTTCTCTTTTCTTTCCCAAAAGTTAAAACATTCTTTTCTATCCGGTCTTCATTTCCTCATAAGCAAAGACCCATAAACATCCCCACTTTCTGATCACTATATTTTTCATACTCCCCAGGGCCACAAGTGCTAAATTTTAGCATTGCTCAGAATCATCTGGAAGTCCTGGTAAAACACAGATTGCTGGGCACCACCCCCAGAGTTTCTGATTCAGTCAGAACGGAGTGGGGACGGGTAGCTGGCATTTCTAACAAATTTCCAGATGATGCTGATGCTGGAGGTCTGGGTACCACACCACTGACTAGCACTTCTCCCACATGTTCCCTCAAAGGGTCCCCACAGAAGAGCATTCAGCTGCTAATGTTCATGAATAGCACAAATGGGTGTTCAGTGCTTTGGCCTCACATTGCAGGCTTTTATCTGGAGGGGGAAAAAATGACTCACTGTCTTTTTAAGCTTTGCCAGCCACAAAATTAAAAGCAGAAAAGGGCTAAATTGAAAGCAAAATGAAAACAGTTAAAGTAACACTGTCTAAATTTTGAGACTTATGGCATGATTTCTAGAATTCGGACAAAAGCTGTAATAACGATTCAGGTATACCCTAGGCTGAGCACAGTAAGGCTGCCAGAAAAACCTACAGCCCCTGTTCTAAGCCCGGAAGCCAGTCAGATGCTTGGTTCTCAGCTTTCCTTAGCTGTCAGCAATAAGTTTTTCCACAGAGTTCTCCAAACACATTATCAATCTATAACTCTTCGAATAAACTAACGTCTTCTGCAAATTCTCTATTACTTTTTCACACAGAAAAAAAATATCAATTGCCAATAAGCAAATACTGTTGGAACATCAAGTGGGTAGACTGAAAATGTGAAGAGAGAAACCGATTTCTTTTGGATTCCTTTATTTTTGTAATTATCATCTCTAGACAATTCTCAGTGGAGATTTTAATTCCATTTTTTCATCTCTTTGAAGAAAAATAAGGCATTTTATATTATGCTACAAAGTACTTCAGTATTGTAGTTTAAGTGTGACTAGTATTTTAAAGAGCACTGTTACATTTAATACCAAATATAACTGACAAGAAGTATTATTATAAGATATAACATTTCTACTTAGGAAGTAAACTGTTAGCTCTACCTTTAATACAGTAATATTTTATAGAAACTACTGACCTTTTACTCTGATCACCACATTTCCATTAAATTTCAAAAGGGCCAGCCAGTGAATGATATGCTATTAAGTAATAAACCTACGCCATCCAAATGTAATTTTTCTGTCCCAGTCCAAAGAAAAAGAAAACAGAATCATAATGGTAAGGTCACTGGATACACTGATTTTGAAAGAAGACATTCTGTGTGAGCATGAGTCACCAAAAGTACTTCCTTAGTGATAAAAGTTGCCTAAGTAACCTCGATGCTTACCATGCTAAGGAGTCCGTGGGTACTGTGCTGGTACTGTGCTGAGTTTCAAACCCACTAGTCATTTCCGTTACTTAATTGCTAACTGCTCTTTCCAGCTGCAGTTTGGGGCCTGTGTTTTATGTAGTAACCCAGCAACTAGTTATTATGCTATATTTTATCAAGGACAACAAAACAGTAAACTTTACATTTCCATGGGTTTCAGAGGAAGTGTCAATGTTATTTCACTCTGACTTTAAGGGGGGCATCATGGTAAACTTGGTCTCCATGTGGCAAAATGATAATGCAAGATGTAGAGACAAAATGATATAACAGAGAAGTAGATCAAGTGCCCTCTGGGTGCAAGGAAGGTGCTAGATCCATCTCTGGCTCCTTAACAGAGAGAGCCTGGCACACAATAGGACTCAAAATACATTGACCAGAAGAGGGATCACTGGTTCTCTCCCGACTAATCCAGTCCATTAGGTAATTGTGCCCGTACTGAGTTAGGGTTTCATCAGGCCATTTAATACTTTCATGCATTTTTTTTACCCTTAGATCTATAATGGGGCCATGACATTTTTTGCTCCCACCTTGGACACACGTGAAGTACTACAAAGACGCTCTTTTTAAAAATAGATCTGGTGTTGATGAGAATCACTTGGAAAAATCTTATCTGCCACGCCGATTAGTACTATGCAAGACATTTTAAAAGGTGAGCAGTAAGCTCTTATGTGTTACCAGTAATGTTGCTTTAGTTTGGCCTTGAAAAATCTTGGTTGTCCTAGAATTCACTGAACCTCATTTCACACAACTCTCTCATGATTCTTGGACTGTACCATCTAAATACCCCAAATATACCCCAAATAAATCTTGCTAAAATTCAATCTAATAGAAAGTAAGTATGGGAAGAAGTTGTTCTTACTTATCGAGATAATATGCTACAAAAAGTCATCACTTTTTTTCTTTTCCACTAGCAAATGTGGTGAAGATTTTTATTCATTTAATTGTATGCAGGAGTCATATGCCATAGCTACCAAATCATTCCAGTGGGTTGAGTCAGAATTAAGAAAGGAGATCTCCACAGAAAACTCCTAAAAATGTCCATAAATGTCTTAATGATTCATTAAGGGCATCACATTCTCTGAATCAAAAGGGTCCTACTGCTGCAACAGACAGGGGGAAAAAGTCCAAATAGAAAGATGGACACAGTGATGAGAACTCCAAGGAGACTTGGATATGCCACCAACCATAGTACAAAAATACCACACACGTGAGGTGCCATAATATAATGAAATTTAGACTGTGGGTCCTGGAGCCAAAAGTCCTGGGTTCAAATCCCAGGTTTGCCACTTTCTGGCTGTGTGAGCTTAAAAGTAAGTTACTCAACTTCTCAGTGCCTAAGTTTCTTCATATGTTTAATAGGGCTGTTGTAAGGATTCACTAAGTTAACACTTGGCATAGAGTAGGCAGGCACTCGGTACATGCAACTTATCGTTATGATTACCATTTGCTTTCCTATCTGGGCCAGACTCCGGTTCTAGTAATGATATCACAGTATGCCTGGTTATCATTATCACTGTTCAGAGTTTACTCATCAGGGACTATGAAAACCAACGCAGAGTTAGCAAAAGAAAAACCCTGATCTAGACATGCAAATATCTCTGCATTGCATTCTGTTCACACATCTAACCTCCTGCAGTTCTAGAGATGACAGATGAATAAATCACAATATTGCATCAGAACAATTCTTCATAATTTATGCTATGAAGAAAGTGTATCTCTATTAAGCTCAAGTTCCATAATAATTTTTGCAGTCATTCCACATGTCCATATGAGTCACATTACATTAGAGGGTACATTTCTAGTCCTTAGCTAATTAGAAATACAATATTTCACTCAATATTTCAGAACTATTGCAGCAGAATTATGGATGCCACTGTCAATCCCTTTATTCTGCTACGGTTAACTCAGAATGGTCTTTCTTTACTTACTTCCTGTCATTTTAATACATTTTAATTACCTTTTGCCTTGCATAGTGGTTTCATTATAACCACTATTTCCTTCCATTTGCTACATGAAATCACGTAGTGTCACTTTGATTTATGTGTTTATTGCTTTTCTAATACTTTCCTTTTGATTTTCACTTTTAAGTTCTACAAACCTTCATGATCTCTGCCTGCATACACAAAGTCCGATGGGGCATATTTTAAACTCTGAGCTTATCGAACATATTCAAAAGTAAACTGAATATTCAGGATTCTGAAGAAAATCATTTCACTGGCTAAATGAATGTGATATGCCAGAGGTAACGCATCCCCAAATTTCTGGAAAGAGAGGTCAACTCATTAATCAGTTTTGAGATAAGCGGGATAGGAGAAATCTCCCCACCCCTCCCAAAACAAAAAAATACAGAAAAGAGATTTTGGCTATATAGATAATGATAGTTCCTTTCCAACTTCACAGGTTACCTTAAAGACAAATCAGTAACTTCTTTTTAAATTTGTTCAATTCTTTAAAAGAAAACTATGCTGTTGAATAGTTATTATCTTTAGACCCATTACCTAAATATCTCTTGAAAAAACTTCTACCACTTGGGAACCGAATGACCTCCTCAAAATAGGCAGAGTAAATTTTTAGGATGCCAAAGCACTTTGCAAATTTTCTAGCAGTGTCATGACCTTCATCTCTACCTTGAAAAATGGTAAAAGCAACATTATAAACCAAGCACCAGATACCTGCATGTTTTTTGTGGTCATCTCTATAAACTGTAAAAGTATCATTCAGCTCTATTTCAATTAAGGTCTGATTTTTATAACCAGACTGGTTTTGTTTTGTTTTCTGGATCAAGTGAACCAAGACTAAAAATCGAGCTTCACATCTTTGTCTAACATCAACTTAATTTTTCTTTTTTTGCACTAAGTTTTCCCTCTGTATGTTAATTAACATCTTTTGTCCCTTCCACATACTGACCACTTTCTCTTTCCTTGGTCTGAGATTGTGCATTAGACTATGATAAAATTATCAATTACACATAGTTCTATGGGAAACTATAATCTGCTTCCCACACCCCCCAATTCAGAGATTTCTAGGAGTTTGTCTTTAAGATTCCTTTCCTCTGAACTTTTAAAAACCATTTTAGAGGCAACTGAAAATGTCCCTGACTTTTCGAGTGTGGAGGCCTGACCAACACACTCACAGCAGATAAGGAACAATATAAGGTGATCGCTATTAAATTATGCGAACTAGAAGTTAGACTAGAAGTGCCGTAAAGGGTAAAACTGCCTCATTCAGCTTAAACGTCACCTTCGCCACGAGGTTTTACTTTATATAGACTATAGAGAAGGGAAGATATTTCCAGGTAAGGAAATCTTAGTGCATAATCCTTGACCTCAAATTAATTTTCCACCTCCGTATATATATTTTTTTCTGTGTCTAACACAGCCATTCTCGCCGTTAGTCTGTCTGGGAAGCTCAGGGCTCCATGACTTTATCCTCTAACTTCACAGCCTCTAACAATCACCCCTTTTCATCATCACTGTACCCTATAAGGTCCGGCTCCTTTTACAATTCACCTGGTCTCCTACAAATAGCCCTCATATCGGTCTCCCCAATTCTTCCTCCACAATACGCCTGAACAATCTTCCTAAAACGCAGCTACAAGCATGTCTTTCTCCTAGCTACAAACACAGTGAATTCCCACTGCCCACCACATTAATTATAAACTCCTCTCTCTGACATTTCATCCTCTGAGGCGTGGTCTCATATTAGCTCTCGAGTCCTTCCTTTCCTTCCCTACAACTGCTCCATCATCCAGCTACTCTGGGGTTCTTGCTATTCCTTAAATGTCCCCAGAACTCTGTCATGTGTGCTATTTTTGCTTATATTGTCTCACCAGTTTTTAACATCCTTTCTCTACCATAAGTGGTAAAAAATATCCATGCCTCAAATATCATCTTTTTTTTTTTTTGTCTAAATACATTTTCTGATCTCTACCAAATGGATGTGAGCACTTGTCCATTGAAACCCTCTGGTATTTCATTCAGATCTCCATCAGATCACTCACTCGCCCTATTCTGCTGTGTATGACAGAAATTTATGTGGCTCCTAACCCTTCTTCAAGGCTAGGAGCTCCCTAGAGGCATGAGAAGTTCTTACTGATCTGAACATACTAAGAACCATTGCAGGCAGGGTGGAAAATGGGCAACACCTATCCGTTAAGTGGAATATGAGAAAAGACCTGAACTTGGGAGAAACGTGGTGTATTCATGCAACAGAGAGCAGCTTAGGGCTCCGCTGAAATTGCCGTCTGGTGGGGAACAGTGGACCCAAGGATGGATGTGCATACTTAGCATGGCTTTCAAAGGCCACAGTTGAGCCATGTGCCTTAACCTCTTCTGCAGCAAAATTTCTAGTTCTCTCATCATCTTTATTACAAATTGTGATTACTTTGTTCCTCTGAGTATTATCTCTCTGTATCATGCATATGCACCCATGAACCCAACTGTACATTCCAACAGTGCATGCATTAAACCTGCCTTGCTGACTTTCCCCAGTGCCTAGCAGAGTGCATGGCACATGGTAAATATTCAATAACCATGTATCGAGAAAGTGAACGAAAGCTGTGGATCACAGTAGCCTGTAAAGGTTGAATGCAATCACATATCAAGTGACTAGCACAATGCTTGAACATAATAAGCACTAGTAAATAAATATTTTTTCCTGCCTTCCTCCCATCCTCTCCTCCCTCCCTCCCTTCCTCCATCTTTCTCTCCTTCCTTCCTTCCTTCCTTCCTTCCTTCCTTCCTTCCTTCCTTCCTTCCTTCCTCCCTTCCCTTCCCTTCCCTTCCCTTCCCTTCCTCTCCCTCTGTGAACTACTGACACATTAATTCATATATTCAACAAATGTGCCAGGCTTTTCTCTAGGTGACAGAGACAGAATAATGAAGAAAAGAGAACAAAAACAAAAACAAAACCCTGCCCTCATGGAGCTTACATTCTAATGAGGAAATGGCTGGTTCACTCTGAATTTTCAGGGAGTCTTACAAAGGCAGTTATTAATAAAAGGGGTTGTGGCTTGAAGGCAGACACTGGTGGGGATAAGGAGAGGCTGGATGAAGGGAAGCCAGTTACTGCACTGCAGGGATGAAATATAAAATGGCTTGGATGAGTGACAGCAACACAGAAGAGGAATGGAGATGGGAGGCAACGAGACAGGACACCTGCTGGATCTGTGTGATTCAAGAGTAAGGAAGTGTTGACCACGAAAGTTTCCAATCTGGATCATTTGCTGTGCTGCCCTGAGTAGACAGGGAAGTTAGGAGGGGAAGCTGCTGTGGTTGGTAGGTTTTAGGGTGTGGAATGAGCTACATCCAATTTTGGATATGATGCCTCTGAAGAGAGAGGAAGAAGTCTAGGTGAAAATGTCTAACACTCAAAGGAAGGATTGTCAGTGCAGGTGAAAACCAAACTCCTTTCTTATCTGTTATGAATCATGGTTACATCATCTGAGTAACATAAAACATGATATTCTAAGTATCAGCCCAGCTCCTCTAGGAATCTGCTCCTTCACTACATAAGCTGAAAACTATCTTGTCTTTTCAGTTCCTGGAACACAGTAGGGCCCTAATGAATATACATAAGTTGAATTGGCTTATAGTAAGCAAAATCTCATCATCAGGGCAAAGAGAAAATAAAAAGGCACACAGAGTCAGAAAGACCTCGATGCAAATTCTTGCCCCCTTCCTCCCTACCTTACTAGTTATAAAACCATGAGCAAATTGTTAACCTGCATCTTAGACTCCTCGTCTGTAAAATGATCAACTCTATCTTGCAGGATGCAATGAGGGCATTACATTAGATTAAATGCATGCAAAGTTCCTGTCATCCAGGCAGTATAAAAAATAAAGCATTTATCATAATAGTATTATCTTTATGACTATGCCTTTTTGGTTTTGCTGTGCTTTTCACCATCTCACTTAACGCGCCTTCTCATCGCTCACATTCCATCCTGGCGATCCTGATAGAAGTTGTCTTCTTGGCACAGCCACCCTCCAGCCAGCTCTCCTAAAGCTCTCACAAGCCACTAAGCTCCTCTCCGCATGGCTGGCTGGTCCATCAGTTCAAATCGCCCAATTCAACTGACATCGCCACAGCTTGCAAATTCCAAAATCACTGCTAGTACTTTAGACTTGGTAATGTTTATGCCTGGCCTACAAATTGTACCACTGTGTCCTCATTTATATACAACTTGCATCATGCAGTGCTTGAAGCAGCTTCCCAGTCCAGCATTTAAAAATACTCCAAGACAGGTTTTCACAGCAATCAAGAGGTGAAATATGAAAACCAAGAAAAGTTTTCTACATCCTGTTCACTTCCAAAAAGTCAGTAAGAACATGGGGTGCATACTTAGCAGGATGAGTTATCAAACTCGAGGATGTTAGTTCAGACATAGTGATTCCCCTCAGCGATGACTATCACCCACTAGTTGAGGCATTGTGCTAGAAATTGCATAATTTACCTTAGCATCAACTTAATTCTTTTCAAAGTCTCATGCGCTCTATATAAATGAGTAAAAGTGTTTTCTTAATCTTCACTTTTCTACACTCTACTGTCCACCCCAAGCTATGGCAATTTCTAATAGGAAGCACACGCCAGATACTGTGTATGTATATGAGTGAGCACATGTGTGTGTGTGTGTGTGTGTGTGAATATGTGCACACTCACTGTATGGCCAGTGCCATGGACTGAATGTTTGTAACCCCTCCCCCACCTTCCAAATTCCTATCTTAGAGCCCTAATCCCCAAGGTGGTGGTATTTGGAGGTGGGCCTTTGAAAGATAACTAGGCTTAGATGAGGTCATGAGGGTGTTACCCATGCTGGGATTAATGCTTTATAAGAAAAAGGAGAGACCGGAGTTTGCTCTCTCCTCCACCTGAAGACGGGGCAAGAAGGTGGCCATCTGCAAACCAAGAGGCAGGTCCTCACCAGACACCAAATGTGCCAGCACCTTGTTCTTGGACTTCCTGCCTTCAGAACTGCGAGAAAAAAATGTCAGTTATTTAAGCCATCCAGTCTGTGGTATTTTGTCATAAGCAGCCTGAGCTACAACAGCAAGGGAACAGATCACCATTCTGAGAGCACAGATTGGGGACAGGTTAGAAAGGAGAAAGGGTACCCCTGAGATGATGAGGAGGGCCAGAGTCCACCACAGAGGAAGTCGCCACAGCCCTGAGGGATTTGCTGTGGTCACCAACGGGGCATATTGCCACAGCACGCCAGAGCCTCGCCTTCATTTTCCGTGGTGAGTCACTCAGCAAGCGTCCCCTGACGGCACCACTGCATTGCCCTAGGGTCAGCGTTTTAGGTGGGAGTAGTGTCCACCCTCTCTTGCCCTATACTGAGATGGCTCTTTTTCATCCTAAGGGTTCCAGGCAAACTCACAATGGTGACATTTGCTGAGCAGGGGCTTGAATAAAGGGCTCTCAGAGAGCAAGATGGTAACGTGGAGCATAAGCTAGTCTGCCAGGACACCCGGCCCCAGGAATGTTCCTTGGGAGGGACCCGCAGCCTTCCCAGTGACCAAGAGAACAAAGGAGACTCAGTAGGGGAGCTGTGCAGCAAGGGGCCCCCCAGCTCAACCCGTGCAGTGCCCTCGGCCTAAACTAACTGAGACGAGGTAAACAAAATATTGCCTAAAAGGGCCTTGTACAAAGAAGCTAAAAAAAAAAAAACAAACAAACAACCCTTCATTTGGTCCTAAACTATTTTTCTTAAATGCCAGGTAACCTCCAGTACCCCCCCCACTCCGCCCCCCCACCAAAAAAAAAGGAAGGGGGGGATCAGAGGGAAGAATTTTACTTTTTTTTCTCTATCGATCTAATAGAATCAAGATGCTTCTGTTTTTACAGAGGTTTTGGAGTTAATCCTGTCAGTATTCCCTGTCTTCTAAATACTGGGGAGGAAAAAAAAAAGCCTATAATTTTTAAATTGCTACCTAAATCACAAAAAGACCGGCTGGCCTTTGCTCTCTTCGCTTCTTTTCAGGGGTACCCATTCTCTTCTGCAGGGTACTAACATTGCAACAATAGCCCTCGAGTGATTTACCTAGAAAAGGGTTTGGTCGTGGAATCTGAACACTTCCTTGGTGCCAGAAATTTTCCGCTCCCTAGAGTCTTCTCTGCACGAATTCCCCTGGAAAACAGGCCAAAAGGACTTGTGACATTTCCCAGACAAGTAACCAGAATCCTGCAGTGTGCGCTGCTTAACGAAAATGAACACATACCTCTACTTCCTCCCAAACATTATGACATTCGAGTTATACAATTGTCTTTCATTAATCAAACTGGAGTTTTAAAGCAACATCTAATTAATTCCGTAATTGGCGCACATTATACCTTTAATGACTTCCACTGCAGCACAAAAACCAGTGATCACTGAATTTGATGGTGAAACTACGGAAGCTGAGTTCCTCTTTCACCTAGAACTTTCAGATTGTGTTCAAAGTCGGGTGCGGTTTCAAGGGCGGGGAGCGGGCGCCGAGAGGAGACCAGAGGAAAAGGGGGGAGGAGACAATTTGGCAAGAAAAATCCGGTGTTGACTTGCGAGGGTCTGCAGAAGTTTCTGGCCAAGGAGAAATAGGCACGTTGAACAAAATCTGGCTCTGGAGAGTTCTTAAGAACTTCGAGGCGCTCTCTAATCTCCCCTCCAGGCTAACCACACACAAGAGGGAGGCCCAGCTCCAAGTTGGATAAAACTTGGGGGAAAAAAACTAGGCGCGAGCCTCGCGGAGACGTGAGACAATTCCATCTAACGGTTCCGTGGACCGCTAGGAGCCCTGGATCTCTGCGGGCAGAGGGCACGGTGACTCACTGTCAGTGACTGACTCAGCGACCCACCCCGCTCCCCCGGGCTTTCCTTGGCCGCCGCCCCGCTGCGCGCGGTCCAAAGCTAGACGAAGCCCTTTAGGTCCCTGCACAGGAACTCCCCGCCAAGAGCATGAAAAGAGGTGCGGGCCCAAGTGGTCCCCGCTTCGAAGCACGGTGCACAAGGCTGCGCGGGGCGGGCCCTGCGTCCCGGGAAGAGCGCCCCACTCCATGCGCTCCAATCTCGGGCGCTCTTTGTTTCCTTCTCGGCGCCTTCCAAGCTGCTGGGTCCCTCACTCCCCCCTTCCTGCTCCTTTGCCTGCGGGTCTCCCCTCCCGCCCGCTCCCTGCAGACCGCAGGCGCGTCGCCGCGCGCCCCTCCCACTCGCGCTCCTCCTCCCACGCCTCTTTGGCGCGCCGGCCCAGGACCCCTTTGATCCAGTCCCAGGCGCGTTCCCCCACCACTGTGCGACCCCGCCTTTTTCAACACCCTGGGGTGAGCCGAGCTTGGGCCAATATCAGGAAAGCCCCTGAAAGTCCCAGCCCAGCCAAGAAGTAACAGGACCCTGCCCAGTCCCGGGAGCAGAGCGGCCAGGAGGAGGAAGGCTCCAAGGCGCCCCCGCCCTCGGGTCCGCTACTTGCCGGGTCCCTATTGGCTGGCGCGCTCGGCGACTGAAACAGCCGTGGGAGGGGAATTCTCGTTTATAAAAACTGCGCCCTTGGCAGGGTCCCGTCCTCTGCAACTCTTGCTCCGGGGTCCCCGCGCCAGAGACGCAGCAGCGCTCCCACCGCCCACACCCACCGCGCCCTCGCTCGCCTCTCCGCCGAAAGCCAGTCCGCGCCGCCGCAGCTGCCCAGCCC